GGAGGGGGGATTGCACCGTGGAGGCCGGATGCGGGAGTGTGTCCCGCGCTTTCCCAGGTGGTGAAGTCACGCCAGGGCTGGGTGCCCCCAGTGTGCACGCGGGGGCCGCCGTCGGGCTTCCAGTCCTGCCCGTTTGTCTTAGAGGTGCTGCTGGCCTCCCAGTAAGGTGGGGTAACCCTGGGCCCCCTGAGGCCTGTCACTGAGCAGCCACCGGAGGGTCTGTGCAGCCCCACGTGCAGGGGCCCCTGGGCGCGCCCACCCATTAGGCTCGCTCAGCTCCCCTCCTCACCCCGCACCTGGGCAGGGGGCCCTTAGAGTGGGCACCTTCCTGCTTTTCTTGGCCACTCGAGCTAAGCGGCTGGAGGCCCTTCTGCTCTGCAGTTCCCTGCCTGCCCAGCTGCCAGGGTGTGACCGGCTGTGAAAACCAGGTTCTGGAAATAGCACCTCTGTCCAGTGAGGGCCTCTTGCTAAGTGAGTCCTGTGCATGTTTAGGAGGCATTTATGGAGCACCTACTGTATGCTCCGTGACTATCGCCCGTGTGGCCTTAAGTGGCTGCAGCCCAGGGAGAGAGAAGATATTAACAAAATAGTTATATAAATTAAACCTCACTAGAGGTTAGAGCCCAGAGAGAGAGACACGTCGTTAAAAAGTTAATTCTACGACTCAAGGTAGAGTTGAACCTGAGAGTTTCACGGGAGAAGGGGAGCCGGGAAGGGGCCCCGCGAGGCCTGTTTTATGAACTGCTATTTATGGGGATGGACGCAGGACCCGGGCCGGGCTGGCAGCTGCGGGACCGGAGCGGAGCCTGCGGCCCCGGGGAGGTTTGTGTCAATCTGGGCAAGGAGAAGGGAGCGGATCAGCAGCCCCTTCCCAGAGGCAAACCCCGGTTTATTTGACGGGGAAGTTGGTGGAGGCTATCAGGTGATGTCGGACGTCAACACGACACTCGTCACCTCTCCTGGGCTTCAGGGGAGTCGGCCTTGCTGAGTCCCCAGGGCTGTAAATGTCACTCCTGTCTCCAGCTGGCTCCTCGGGTGTCTACCCACCTGCTCAGGTTGTTTACTTTACGTTGCCTTTGAGTTTCGTTTTCCACCAGGGGGTCAGAATCTGTGGACCGAATCGCCTTGAGGTCTTGCACGGGTGGGTGGGCTGGTTCTCAGAGAGCAGGTGCCCCTCCCAGGACCCTCACCGGGTGGCCATGGATCTGTGGAAGGCTGGAGTCCAGGGCACCCCAACACCCCGACAGGACCAGGCAGGCCTGGGCAGGCCTTGACCCGGGGACTGCCTAGAGACCGCTCCCGGCTAATTCCCAGCTCAGACCCGTCTCCCTCCCAGGTCACGCTTCTGTTTCAAGCTCCAAGAAATTGTCCTCAGTCAAATATTTCAAAACATGGATGTTTTGAGGGGTCATTTGCCTTTCCCTGTGTTTCCACAGGACCCTGTGTTCCCTCCCTGCCTCCCTCCTCCTTCCTCTCTCCCCCTGGTATTTATTGAGCACCTACTATGTGAGAGGCACTGCTACCGCCCGATGAAATGGACAAGATCACAGCAGCGGTCCTCAGCCTCGGCAGTGAAGGGAACCACGGTGTTGCCACCTTGAAGCCCCCTTTTGGGGAGGACAGGCAGCCCGTAGGGTGACCGGCCGGCCACGGTCACTGCTCAGAGCGTGTGGCCGGTTCCTGTACACCGGCCCCTGCCGGGCACAGCCGATAGGCCTCCCACACACCGCTGCTCAGGACACTCCTCCTGACACAGCTCCCGCCCCTGCTTCCAGACGGGGGAGGGGGCCAGAGCGGAGCAGGGCTGCCCCCCAAGCCTCTGACCTGGAGCTCGTCCGTCCGTCTGTCCCGGGGGACCCCGCGCTGAGGTTACTTGGTGGCAGACGGAGGTCGTGCATCTCCACAGGGCATGGCGCAGGCGGACGGGGCGCCCGGGCCGGGGGCAGGGCAGCCCTACGTGTTCAAGCTGGTCCTCCTGGGCAGCGGCTCTGTGGGCAAGTCCAGCCTGGCTCTGCGCTTCGTGAGGAACGACTTCAGGAGCATCCTGCCCACCGTGGGATGTGAGTGACGGACGACGCCCCTCCTCAGTCTCCTAGGGGAGGCGCCGGGGCCCCGACCGGGCGGGGGGCACAGGGGCCCGGGGTCCACTCGGGGCGGACGCACCGGCTCTCAGCCGGGCGGAGACCTGAGCCTCCCGTTCCAGGTGCGTTCTTCACGAAGGTGGTGGATTTGGGCGCCGCGTCTCTGAAGTTGGAGATCTGGGACACGGCTGGCCAAGAGAAGTACCACAGCGTCTGTCACCTGTACTTCAGGGGTGCCAACGCCGCCCTGCTGGTGTACGACATCACCAGCAAGGTAGGGCTCGCCGGGCGGCTGCACCCCCTTCCTGAGCACGGCCTGCGCTCTCCCAGGTGCAGGGACGCCGTCTCCCTGTGGGACCGGCCCGTCCCGGGGCTTTGTGGTAAGATCACAGCCTCTCAGGAGCCCTTCAGTGGCGGCTGGCCACCTCCTTCAGGAAGCCCTCCTGATAGCCCCTTCTTCTGCATGGGTGGGCTTGTGCCCCCCAGGTCCTCCCAGAATGCCCTGCACCACTACTCACGGTCACTCGGGACTCCTCGGGCGCCCACTGATGATGAGGGGGTGTCACAGGAATAGGACGCACACCCCCTGGCTGCACATCCCACACACAGAGTTTCATCTGGGAGGGAAGCAGATGGACCTGGTTAACTTTGCTGGAGGGAGGGAAGGGGCCACGGGGGGCCCAGGGCAGGATCCCCACTACCTGGGCACTGCTGATGGGGTAGGAGCCCCCTGTGGCCCAGACCACCGGAGGCGGGAGAGGGAGCAGACTCCCTCCTCGGGGGACACCGCGGCCCTAGGGGGTGGGGGGTCTGTCACATGGCCAGTAGGATCACAGGACGTTTGACACAACGTGGCCATCGATGCCTGCGTTCTCTTTGCGNCACGGCCAGTAGGATCACAGGATGTTTGACACAACGTGGCCATCGACGCCTGCGTTCCCTTCCCGGTTTAGCGGGTGAAGGCCGCCCACAGGTTTTCTCAGAGGCCTTTCTTTTTGCTCTGGGAGGATTCCTTCCGCAAGGCTCAGCAGTGGCTGAGGGACCTGGAGCGGGAGTTCCTCCCGGGGGAAGTCGTGGTGATGCTGGTCGGCAACAAGGCGGACCTCAGCGAGGAGCGGGAGGTGACGTTTGAGGTAGGACCCCCGCCGGGACCCCAAGGCAGGCCCCACGGCTGCACCTGCCGCTTGGGCCTTACCGTCAGGAGGCAGCTGGTCAGCTCGATCCCACACAGGCTGGAGGCAAAGTGAAACAAAACCCCAAACGAAAATATGACCCGAGCCACATGTGGCTCTTAAAAGTATAAGAAAAAATGTGTCGGCCAAGGTTCTTAGGGACTCTCTGTGGTTTTCGTGGCTGTTTTCCCAGCAGGGGAAGGAGTTCGCAGAGACCCAGAGACTGCTGTTCATGGAGACCTCGGCCAGGCTCAACCACCAGGTGACCGAGGCCTTCAGCGCTGTGGGTGAGTGACGGGCCCCAGGGGAGCTGCGGTGGGGCCATCATGGGCTCTGCCTCCTCTGGTCTCCTTTTCTGGCGTCCTGGACCCCATAGGATGTCCCTGGGACTGAAGGGGAGCGGGAGAGTCAGGGCTGAGTTTCTTGCCTCCAGTGAATGTCAGCAAGGGTGGGGTCCCTGGACTGGGGTGTGAGTCCATCCCCCCTTCTGTGCCCACAGCCGGAGAGCTGCTGCGGAGGGCAGAGAAGGAGGGCCAGACCCCGCGGGGCGATGCCCGGCTGGCCCTGAACCCCAGGCCCACGGGGCGGGCCAAGTGCTGCGCCCACTAGAGGCAGCCACGGCCGCTGCGGGAGGGGCCTTGGGGGGAGCCCCTGCCCGCCCCTGCCGGTCCTCGGGGGGAGCCACCGCCAGCTCCGAGCCAATGGTGGCGCCTGATTCTGATTCGCTGTTGACGCTCCTGCTTCCTGGGTGCCCGGGAGTTGGCATCTCTCAGGAGGACCGCTTCCCGAGTCATTCGGGAGAGGATGGGTGTCAGTGGCCTCACCTCCTGCACCCAGACACGGACTGAATCCCAAATGCCCTGGCCAGGCTTGCCTGCCCCGGCCTGGCTTGTCCCCTCTGCTGCTCCGGACTCGGAGGAGTGACACGGGTCAGTGGGACTAGGGACTTGGCGTTGGGCAAGACCCACCTGCTCCTGGGAGTGGGCAGAGGACAGAGCAGGCCCAGGGGAGGTGGCAGTGCCAGGGGGAAATGGAGTGACCGTGACAGGGCTGGGCCCCTCTTCACTGGGTCTCAGAGGGGTTCCCCGGGAGGGACAAGGCTGCCGGAGGGCTTGGGGCGGGGGGCCTCTCTCTGGCTGTGAATCTGACGATGCCACCCTGGTGCCCTGTGAACTCGTGAAGATGCAGCCTTTTAGCCAGAGGTGTAAATTGTGCCATTTACATGTTTTCCCCCCCAAAATTAAACCGCTTTCTTTAACCTGGTCTCTGGTGCGTTTGCAAGGTGGGGGTTTGTGAGTGACTCGGGGCAGCAGGCAGTGATGCAGGTGGCCCAGGACATCTCTCTGATGGTGACCCTCGTGTGTCCGCCTGGTCACTGCCTGTGCCCCTTCCCAGAGGCCAGGCGGCTGTGGGGTGTGAGCCCTGAGGCAGGGAGAGGTGCCACGGGGCTGTTTTGGGGGTGATGTTGGCTTCTATCCTTCCCTCTGGGACTAGGATAAGCAGGTTTGAAACTNCTCGGGGCAGCAGGCAGTGATGCAGGTGGCCCAGGACATCTCTCTGATGGTGACCCTCGTGTGTCCGCCTGGTCACTGCCTGTGCCCCTTCCCAGAGGCCAGGCGGCTGTGGGGTGTGAGCCCTGAGGCAGGGAGAGGTGCCACGGGGCTGTTTTGGGGGTGATGTTGGCTTCTATCCTTCCCTCTGGGACCAGGATAAGCAGGTTTGAAACTTTAAATAGGACGTTGTTACATCTGGAAAAGGGGAGCGTCACTGTATTGACTGTGAGGATCGTTAGAGGGACACATGGAAAACCTCCAGACCCGCTGACTTTGAACTTCTTGGCATCCAAAGGGCAGCAGCCTTTCTTGGGGCCCTTCCTGTCTGCTCTCTGCTCTCGTCGACCCCTGAGGGACCATGAGCCCGGCCCCCAGGCCCGGACCTGTGGCTCCGAGATGAGGGGCCCTGGCAGGGGATTGGCCAGCATGAAGGGGACCAGAGTTGTCTAGGCTCCATCTCCGGGAAGTGACCCCAGCGTGGCTGTGTCCCTGCTAAAGGTCACAGCTCCCCTCAAGGGGACCCCCCGGGCTCTGGCTGTGCTCCCTCCTTCACCCATCAGGCCGGGTGCCTGGAGCCCCCCTGCATCTCACCGGGTGTTGTCCTAACGGGGGGAGTGGGGCTCCGGAGACGGCGACGGCCCAGGGGGCCCCCGATTCACACTCCTGGTGCTTGTTCTAAAAGACGCTTCTGTGACCCTTCTAGACAAAGGCGGAGCAGCTGTCTCAAGGCTTTTTCTTGTCATGACCTTCAAGAAAAGCTAAGGGATAGATAAAGGGCCTGCCACTGTGGTTTCCACTCAGTTTTTTCCGTAGACGATTTCACAGGAGAAACCTGACTTACTCCCCCGTGTGTTGCAGTTTCTGGCTGCGGCCAAGCTGGACAGCTTTTCACGCGATTAGTCCCTTTGCCCCTGACCGGCCCAGCAGGGCTTGGACCTTCCTGCCCCAGCCGTGGGACCCGCCTGGAGGCCGTGGCGGCCAAGGCGGCCCCTGGCCGCGAGATGGCGACCTGCCCTCGCTTAATTGAGGTCGCTCGAGCTCCAGGTGGCGCCTCTGTTCCCAACAGGCGTCCAGAGGGATTTCTGAGTTGCTGGGATGAAAGCGTGGAAGTGCCGGTGGCGCTGGCAGGACGCCCGCACATCTACGCCTGTTTTACTCCCGTCTCGTCGCGCTAGCGCCGCGGTTAGAATCTGTTACTCAAACGCCCTAGACTCACTTCCACCAGCCCCCCCTCCCCGTGGATGGGGCCCGGGCTCTCCATCCCCTCCCTCTGGGCTGCTGGGCTCCGAATGTCCTTCCCGTTTGTCACCACACAGACGCGAGTAAACGAGGCCAGCTGCTTTTATTAGGATCGAGGGGAAAGAAGCCCCTGGAGGGGGCACAGGGTTGGGGGAGGCTGCTGGAGTCACTCCTCCTGCTGGGGGCTGTCACCCACCCTGGGAGGGCTCAGCGCCGCCTGCCAGGGGGAAGCCGCCCTCTGGTGCCACAGGCTCAGCTCGGGGACATCCCTCAGGGCCGTTCTCCTCCGGCCGAAGCGGCCCACAGGCCTGATTCTGCGGCCCATGTACCAGGCAGGATCGAGGTCCGGGGCTGAGAAGCAAAGGTGAGAACAGTCACGACCCACGTCCCCTGGTGTGCCCGGTGTCCTGCCGTGGGTGCCGAGGTCCCCTGCTCCTGCCTGGCAGGTGGCAGGGCCCAGCACCCACGCTCCCCGTGGGCCCCTGAGCTCACTGCTCCTCCGTGTCCCAGGCCGGCTGGAACCCACCCGCCCAGGAGGGGCCCCTGGCGGGCCTGGCGAGGCCATTCCTGGGTGGTGGGTGGCTTTGGAAACAGGAATCCAAACTCACACCAGGACCAATGACCACTCCCCTTCCTGCACTCCCACCCTGCCAGGGGTGGGTAAAGCCTGCGGGGCCCCAGGCCACCCTGGTGGTGGGAAGTTACCCCTCAAACGTGTCCTGGGCAGGGACACTGGGAGGTGGATGACAAGGCCCCTCTGGGTTGGGGACTAGTGAACAGTGGGCCAACCCCCTCAGAGCTGGGGCACTTAGCAAGGACATACCCCAGGTTAGGAGATGGCCCTGGGGGTAGAGAGGTGAAGGGGCAGGTGAGTGACCCCTGGTCGGGGGGGGGCACTCACTGCGGGTCTCCATGGAGCGCTGGTGGGCCCTGCTCGCTGCCCCCCGCAGGGCCAGGCCCAGCAGCAGCAGGCACAGCAGCCAGGCCTGCAGCACCTTCAGCCCCCTGGCTCCTCGCCAAGGCCCCGCCGGGGGTGGGATGCCACCTGGAAGGGCACGGCCCGGGGCCGAGGGGCGGCAGCAACGTTACACACTCGTGGGGGCCCGAGCACACAGCCGGGAGCCCTCGGTCGCCGGTGCCGCGTGTGGGAGAGAGGGTGCGCCTGCATGTGTGTGTGCACGCGTGTGTGTGCGTGTGGGGGGTGGGTGTGCATCCCCTGCTCTGTGAGGGGTGGGCATAGCAGGCCGTCCGGCAAGGCGCCCGCCTCCCGGGACCCCATTCTGTCCTCTGCACGGCGAGCAGTGAACGAGGCAATTGTGTCCGTCACGTGGGCGCTGACCCTACGTCGTCTGTGAGCTGCGGGTGCAGAGAGGGGCTGTCTGGAAGAGCTCAGTCCATCTGTCTGTCTGTGTTGGGGAGTCGGGAGGCATGGGAGGGCCAGCGCCCCCCGTCCTTACCCAGAGCAGCCCCCACCCCGTCCCCGTGACCCCGAGTCCAGTCCCCAGTCTCCAAGCCGAGCCTGCGGAAGGCGGGTCCTGTCATCAGCAGCAGGACAGGCCCCACGGGTGGACGGTGGGCGGAGAGGGCGCTGCGGTAGCCCAGGGGCCAGAAAACGCACTTTGTCCTGCAGGCGGAGGCAGCAACCTGCCTAAACCCGTTCATCCGGCAGAGCCGGCGCTGCAGGCGCCCCACCCTGTCTCCCGGGGGCCCCTGCCCACCTTGGCTTTCCCACCTGTCCCTGAGCCACACAAAGTGCCCTCCATCTGGTGATTTAAAATTCCTTTCCAGAGAGGTGTGGGGTGTCCCACAGGGGGTGGGGGACTCACCCCCCAAGGAATTGGAGGTGCCATCCCGAGAGGAGAGTGGAGAGACGCCTGCAGACGGGCCGGGACTCACGCCAGGTGGAGGGCGCCTGGCTCCTGATCCCCGGGACCTCCTTCCCCAGGAGGAGATTTTGTCCGTCTGTCCGGTGGGCTCCCCAGGTCACCTTCCCCCCTTGCCTCCACCATGGACAGCGCTTGAGCGCTGGGGGCCCTGGGAGGGCGGGTGGCCCTCAGACAGGAAAGCACAGGGGGCTGCCCTGCCTGTCCCTGCTTGTCCCGCCCAGCGCCAGCCTGGCCTCGGAGAGCCCGACCCAGAGGGGTTTGCAGAGGCGGACGGCAGCTGAACAGCCCCTGAGCTACTTACCGCAGTTCCCCATGTCGGTGGCCAGCGCCGCAGTGTCCTGAGTGGGAGCCAGCTCACCCCCTTTATAGCCCCAGGAGGAAGCGGCCGACCCCCCAGACGCACCCAGTCCCCCCTCCGTGCCCGCCACCCTCCCGGGCGGCACCAGAGCCTTTGTCTGTTTCCTTTTTTAAAACGCTCATCGGCAGTGTGACTTGTCCCTTCCTGCCTGTATAATTTCATTTGCGCCAAGTGGTTTTAAAACACATTAGCCGCCCTTCTTCACGCCGGCCTCGGGGACACGGCAAAGTCGGGCGCCGCCGGTCCCGGCAGCAGGCGAGCCACTGCCTCCCGCGCAGGAAGGTGCCCGTGGGGCCACCCGCCACCCTCCTCTAGACCGTGGTGAAAGGAGACGCCGGGCGCCAGGCCGGGCAACCGGTTTTGCATCTCCGTGGCCCTTCCCAGTCCCGTCGCGTGTGTGGCTCCCACAGCGTCTCATCCACAAACTACTCTTGGCCTGTTTCACAGCTTACGATAGGTTGGGTCCTCTCCAGGCTTCCACACGTCTTCATAATTAACGTTTCAAATAGGTTTATTATCATCAGAAAACAAATAGGTCGATTTTTATTATAAAAGCAATTTAAGTACATCTGGGGAGAATTTCACACCTGCAGGAACAGAAAAAACCACCGCAAGTCACAGCAGCGTGTCCTTCTCGCAGGGGATGCGCCTCCTTCTAGCGGCTCCCGCATCTTTTCGGGGTCAGTTCATCGTATTTAGAGGTTTTGAGTCTCATTTTTTTTTCTTTCCATTTAACAGTCGTGTCCTTGAGTCGTATGTTGATGCCGTTTGAACTAACTGACAATATTCCGCCATCTAACTTGGCCCTGAGCACCTACTCGTCCGGTTCTCAATGATTCAACTGTCCGAGGTCATCGGTGCCGACGAGCGTAGTGTCGGGGAGCCCGTCCTGGGGCCGGAGACCTCCCGGGGGCCCTGTCGGCTGTGCCGGCTCTGACGGGACACGTGGTGTCATCCTTTCCCGCTCCATTCATAAAAGCGACCTGAGAAAGGCAGCAGTGAGGGGGTGAGGGGTCAGCTAGGTCTCCCGTGCGTCCTTCAGAAAGTTTAAACAACTTTGCCCTGAAGGAAAGACGCCGCTTGGGTGTCGCTCGCGGCCCAGAGCGGGCTGGCGGGTGCCCTGGGAAGGCGGCAGTGAGTGGGGGTGAGCGGCCGAAGTCTGAGGACCGCTGTCATTTCACAGGCGGGGCTCCGTCACCGACGGTGTTTCTCCCTGTTTCTCCACCGGACGGCGTAGAGTGGGGAGCGCTGGGCAGACAGGGGACGAGATGGCCGG